TCATTAGCATAATAGGCCACACCCAACAACAGAAACTCATTAGCATATCCAGCCACACCCATGAGAACTTAGCTCATTAGCATATTAGGACGCACCCCCATGTTACCAGAAGTATAGTCATCCAGCCACACCCACCTTTTGCATGTTAGGCCACACACCCCTAATGTAGCCAATCCTAATGACTCTCTGCTGTTGGGTGTGGCCTATTATGCTAATGAGCTCCTGCTGGGCGTGGCCAACTTGGGAGCCAGCCGGAACTCCATTCCTGTGTGTTCCTGCCCAAAAATAGCCCTGCTGGAAACTACAATTGGTCCAGAACACGGCAGCCTGATTATTGTCAGGGGCAAACTGCTGGGATTTGGGGGGTGGAGTCTGGGGAGGGAGGGGTTTGGGAAGGGGCGGGACCTCAGTGAGCTATAAGGCCAGAGAGCCCGCCCTCCAAAGCAACCATTTTCTCCAGGGCGAACAAATAGCTGTAGTCTATAGATCTGTTGTTATTCTGGGACATCTCCAGGCCCTCGCTGGAGGTTGGCAGAGCCCTATAAAAAAGCGAAAGACGGTTTCCCTTGCTCGAAAGCCAGTCGAATCCAACTCTAGGGATGCGGTGCTCATCTCTGTTTCCAAGCCGAAGAGCCAGCGCTGTCCGGAGATGTTTCTGTGGTCATGTGGCCGGCATGACTAAACGCACGGAACACTGTTACCTTCCCACTGAAGCGGTACCTATTTATCTACTTGCAATTTCTTGCTTTTAAACTGCTAGGTTGGCAGGAGCCGGGGCTAGAGACGGGAGCTCACTCCGTCATGTGGCACTTGGGTCTTGAACTGCTGAACTACAGACCTTCTGATCTGCATCTAAGTGTCTTAACCTCTGAGCCCATTTTGAAACAGTTACGTTGGCAGCTAGAGGGGAAGGTGGCATGGTATAGGTATATGCATCAAATCTTGGAATCTAAGCAGAGTTGGTACTTGGGAGGGAGACCACCAAGGAAGGCTCCGCAGAGGAAGGCCATGGCAAACTACCTCTGCTTCCCACTTGCCTTGAAATCCCCTTGCGGAGGGTCACTGTAAGTTGCAAGCTAAGCAGGGTCAGTACATGGAAGGGAGACTACCAAGGAAGGCTCTGCAGAGGAAGCCCATGGCAAACCACCTCTCCTTCTCCCTCGCCTTGAAATCCCCTTGCTGGGAGTCACCGTATGTTGGAAGCTAAGCAGGGTCAGTACTTGGATGGGAGACCACCAAGGAAGGCTCTGCAGAGGAAGACAATGGCAAACCACCTCTGCTTCTCTCTTGCCTTGAAAGCCCCTTGCTGGGGTGGCCATAAATCAGAAGCTAAGCAGGGTCAGTACTTGGAAGGAAGACCACCAAGGAAGGCTTTGCAGAGGAAGGCCATGGCAAACCACTAGCACGTTAACAGTATTTATTTGCGACTTGTGACTTGCAATGTGTATGAATTTTATGATGTGTTTTGTATGCACTCCCGAGTCTCGCCTGACCAAGCCGAACCGCCGACAGAGAGAACATCATGACCACCACAGAGGGGGTGCTGGTAGGAGATCCCTCTCCCCTATACATTGTGTGCCCGTAGTTAGGGACAGAAACGGTGATTAGCACCAAGCAACTTGTAAGCCGCTCAGAGACCCCAACTATGGGATTAGAGCGGGGTATTAAATTGAAAGCATAAATAAATATAAATATAAATTGAATTAAATAAATAAAATAAATGAAGCACCTCTGCTTCTCACTTGCCTTGAAAGCCCCTTACTGGGGGTCACCAAGAGCTGGAAGCTAAGCAGGGTCGGTACTTGGAAGGGAAACCACCAAGGAAGCCTCTGCAGAGGAAGGCAATGGCCAACCACCTCTGCTTCTCACTTGCCTTGAATGCCCCTTACTGGGGGTCACCGTACGTTGGAATCTAAGCAGGGTCCGTACTTGGAAGGGAGACCACCAAGGTAGGCTCTGCAGAGGAAGGCAATGGCAAACCGCCTCTGCTTCTCACTTGCCTTGAATGCCCCTTACTGGGGGTCACCGTAAGTTGGAATCTAAGCAGGATCAGCACTTAGAAGGGAGACCACCAAGGAAGGCTCTGCAGAGGAAGGCAATGGCAAACCACCTCTGCTTCTCACTTGCCTTGAATGCCCCTTATTGGGGGTCACCGTAAGTTGGAATCTAAGCAGGATCAGCACTTAGAAGGGAGACCACCAAGGAAGGCTCTGCAGAGGCAGGCAATGGCCAACCACCTCTGCTTCTCCCTTGCCTTGAAAGCCCCTTGCTAGGGGGTCACCGTAAGTTGGAATCTAAGCAGGATGAGCACTTGGAAGGGGGACCACCAAGGAAGGCTCTGCAGAGGAAGGCAATGGCAAACCACCTCCGCTTCCCCCTTGCTGGGGAGTCACCGTAACTTGGAACCTAAGCAGGATCGGCACTTAGAAGGGAGACCACCAAGGAAGGCTCTGCAGAGGCAGGCAATGGCAAACCACCTCTCCTTCTCACTTGCTCTGGAAGCCCCTTGGTGGAGTCACAGTTGGTTGCAACTTGACATGACTTATGTACATAACATGGGCCGCCACTCTGTTTCCCAGTTCAGTTCAAGGTGCCACTTATGACCTCAAAAGTCCTTCACAACCTGGGACCCACATGTGTGAAGGACGCTCTGGAGATCTTCCGGAATGACAACCGAGCTTCAGGTGACAGAGCTCCGACTACCTGGAGAAAATGGCTGCTTTGGAGGGGGGACTCTGTGGCATTATGTCCCGCTGTGGTCCCTTCTATCTCCAAATCCCACCCACCCCAGGCTCCAACCCCAAATCTCCAGGAATTTCTGAACCCACAGTTGGCAACCCCAGTTAGATCCTACTAGTTTTCTGCTCAACCTCTTTCAATTCCCTTCTGTACTGTAGCCACAGTCCCAGGTGACCTTTGTTCATAATGGCCCCATGATCCCTGGCATAGCCTTTTCTATGGTCAAAAGTGGCATCCTATTCCTTCTTTTACCGGTGGGAAACCTGATAGGACACAGTCCCCCCCCCCATCTCTGACAGTCACTTGCCTCACTTCAAAAGGCAAAGCACTTAAGAACATAACAACAGCCCTGCTGGATCAGACCAGTGTGGGTCCATCTAGTCCAGCCTCCTGTCTCACACAGGGGCTGACCTGTTCCTCTGGAGGGCCAACAACAGGGCAGAGAGGCCGAGGCCTTTGTAAGAACAGAACAAAAGCCCTGCTGGATCAGACCAGTGAGGGTCCATCTAGTCCAGCCTCCCGTCTCACACAGGGGCCAACCAGTTCCTCTAGACAATCAACAACAGTGGTCAACAGTGGGTCAACAGTGGGAGGACTTCTAATGTCCTGGCCCCACTTGTGGACCTCCTGATGGCACTGGTATTTCTGGCCACTGTGTGATACAGAGTGTTGGACTGGATGGGCCTTTGGCCTGATCCAACATTGGCATCTCTTATGTTCTTAACAGGGCAGAGAGGCCAAGGCCTTCATTAGAACATCAGAAGAGCCCTGCTGGATCAGACCAGCGGTCCATCTAGTCCAACATCCTGTCCTTTGGCCTGATCCAAAATTATTTGAGATATTTTATCATCGTCTGTAGCACGGTATTTGCTGATTTTCGGTGTTTCCTACTTACTGTTTTGGTTTTGTGAGGCGCTTCAGACAAAACCGGCTCGAGTCAGCTTGGCAGCCATGCCAAAAAGAAGCCGTTCTCCCCGCCCACCCTGACGAGGCCCCTGATTGGCCGACTCACCTGTTTGTTCATGAAGCAGTAGATGATGGGGTTGTAGACGCAGGAGCTCTTGGAGAAGAAGGCCGGGATGGTCACCATGCGCAGGTCGATGCCGTGGTTGCGGTTGTTCACCATGTACATGGCCAGGGCCGCGTAGGGGACGTAGCAGAGGCAGAAGGAACCAACCATCACCACCACCATCCGGGACACCTCCCGCTCGGCCTTCTGGGTAGTGGCGGACTCCTGTTGCTGAGCAGCTACCTGTGGGCGACCAGCCATTGCATTTGGGTCAAACAAACAAAATGTGTCGGCACGTGTGTCTAGGTTTGCCCTAAACTGGGGGTCCCCAACCTGTTTGAACCTGTGGGCATCTTTGGAATTCTAACCCGGCATGGCGGGTGCAGCCACAAAATGGCTGCCACAGGAGGCAGAGCCAGGCACAAAATGGCTGCCATAGGAGACAGAGCCAGCCACAAAATGGCTGCCGCAGGAGACAGAGCCAGCCGCAAAATGGCTGCCACTCTATGTTTTTCCCTCGGATGACTGCAGCCCCGCCCCTGGCGCGTCTGACGCGGCCGCGTCACTTCCGGGTGACTTGCTTGCGGCATGTGCGCGCTCTGCGCGCGGGCGCTCCCAGAGCAAGCCAGGAGTCCCCCACTGCGGCTAAAGGTAGGACTTGGCAACCCTACGGTGACCTCACGGCTGGGGGTGGGTTTTCTGGGAGCATCAACCGGCCCCTGTTGGTAACCAGATGCTGGACTAGGTGGATTTCAAGGCTGTTCAAGCCAGTCTTTCCTTTGGATAATGTGGTGGGATTGTCCTTTGGTAAAGGAATTTTGGGATCAAATTGGTATAGAAATGTCGGGGATTGTGGGAAGAAGGGTAAGAATATCTAAAGCAATGGCACTTCTTAGTTTGGATGGTATAGAGTTAAGGGTAAAAGAGGAATGTAAATGGATAAATTTGATGTTAGTAGCAGCAAGACAAGTGATTGCAAAGAATTGGAAAGAAGCTGAGGAACTGACGATTAATCATTGGAGGGAAAGGATGAACAATATAATAATTTTAGAGTATCTTACAATGAAGATACGTAGAATGAATGGGTCAAAGGTTAAGGACCAAGAGGAGGACTGGTTTAAAAGGATGGCGGGGTATTTGGGAAAGTTTAAAAAAAATGGGGTGATTAGTCAGTTAATAGGAAATTGAGAGGTTAATTTGATTATAAGATTAAGAGGGAAGGTTAATAGTGGAATAGAGTTGTACGGAGATTGATTGTGATATAATACTGTATGGAACTTCATTTA